TATCCAAAACAACAAACTTCTTTGCCAGACCAACTGTACCACTAAAATCACAAAACTTTCCTTTACTAAAACACTAACAAAACCAAGTATATATATTGTCACCTATCTATTGGAACTACCTCTACATCACTCCCATAATAAAAACGGGAACCTTCATCATCTAAAATCATCGAATGATTACCACATCCCTACTAGACTGTCACAAAAACCATCGTTATCAGAGCGAAAATTTGATTTAACAATACATTTGTTTCCTGCTGGTTTTACTTTAAATCAATCCCTGGATCTTATATACAAAAATTCTATATATTTTAAAAGAACAAGAATAAAGAAAATTGTTCATTTAAATACTTTTAAATTTATTTATTTGACTTTTACAAACGATACATCGTAACAACTGAAATATTTAATAAATCGAGAATTACAATATTCAATTCAAAACAAAAAATATTGGATTGCTATTACTTAACCTACAAATGCATGTTTCTGAATTGAAAATCCAGTATGTTGGCACAATGCGTTAAGACTTATGTATGTAGGTAAACTTAAGTGTTTTCAGATAAGTCGAACATCAACAATCTGTTCTCTGTGAGTAGAAAGCTCCTGGAAACAATACCGATGTTGTCTGTTGTTATAATTTTTGTTTGTATTCCCCTACCTTGTTGACAGATGTTAATCAAGAATTCCCATTCTCTTCGTCAGGTAACGCTTGTTTAACACGACTTTAAAAGCATTGGCTAAGTGAAAATTCTGCAAAAGTATTTTATTAAAATATTAGTAACCTTTTATGTGATCGATTAAACCAATAGCTGGGTATTAGAAAGCGAGATTTGCGTCAAATATCGCTTTGTTTTAAAGCAAAATGTAATTTATAACTTCAAAATTGATCGTTTAATTTCCTGCCGGTGACACTCATAATTGGTGTAAGTCTTAGAGATTAGGTGGCCATTAGCCCGATGGAAAAAGAGTCTTAGAATGCCCAGGTGCCTGCATGTATATTGCAGAGCGATAGTTTGAATGTTATAAATAGATGACGTAACAGTTTGCAGAAGGTTTTAACTGATATTAAACCAATAGAAAGTGCTTCCGGTTTCCTTAGAGAATCGTGGATCGCTCATGGGGTTCGTGTGATGGTGGCTTTCATTCCGAGGGCGTGTTGTATACACAAGTTAACTTACGAAGAATATTGTGTACATTTTGATAAAAAATTAATAATAAAAATAATATTTGTTAAAAGAATCATTAATCTCATTACAATATGAATGAAATCTATATAATTTTATTGGTTTCATACAACTCATATCGCTTAGAGATTTACACTTATATTTATAACACCCTGATGGGGCTGGGGAAAATACGAGAGGAACATTGCTAGACTTGCAGAGATGTTTGATTTTAAATCTCGTAAGACCAAGAGAGGTAAATGATTGTAATAGCTCATACAAAATTTGAATAGACAGACATTGTAACAACTTAGTTAGCATAGAGACAATTTTAAATAACTACAAAACTTCATTAAACGTAGAGAATTGCGTAAGTATATATGATAAAACAATTCCTCATGAAAAATTAAAATCTAGACAATTTTATATCAAACACAATTGCGTCTTCAACAAAACCAGACCTAGAACATTTTCACTACTTATGATTGTCATCAGCAAAAAAAAAAAAAAAAAAAAAAAAAAAAAAATAGTTAAAAACCACTCTGATTGTACGCTTAATCTAAAGTTGATATTAAAAGCACAGGGGCCGGTAACATACCGTTTTTGATTTTACGTAATCACTATATATATATACAAAAAAGGGTCTCTTTTTGTATACATATAGTGATTACGTAAAATCAAATACAGTATGTTGCAGGCCCCTGTGATTAAAAGGATGCTGGTGGAGTTCCTTATTAACAACATTAATATAGTCTTCAGAGACCAAGTTTTACAACAAACTGTTGGAATTCCGATAGGCATTCATTGTGCCCCTTTATAAGCTGACCTGTTTTTATATATGAATCAAAATTTATTCAAAGTCGTTTACCTAAGAAGAGGAAAACACTTGCTGTGGCTTTCAATTATTGACAATCAATTAACAAAAGCTATTTCATATATCGACTTGAATTATATAACAATGAACATGAAATAAAAGACACCACAGTATGTGCTATATCTCTCTTATATAAAATTTGGATGTTTTACAGACTAAGATAATAAGGGCCAAGAAACAACAAAATTGTACGACAAAAGAAGCAAAAATTCAGCTTTTTCATCGTCAAATTTCCTTATTTATGTAATAATATTTCACATCACATGTTCATGGTGTTTCTGTCTCCCATCTTACTCGGTACTCAAGCAATAAGCAATTTTTAAAGCGAGACAGGCTACTCACAGATATGTTGATGTTACAGGGATTTTAATAACCTGTTTAAAGTCAGATTTGGTAAATTTTGTGGTCGTTAAGACGACCTTGTTTGCATATATAACCTTTCACTGGGTTATATTTTGGCTGACTTGATTCATACTAAATGTGAGACATTTGTTTTTATACTAGATTTGATTAAACAATGTATACATACATTGGTCAATTCATAGTGCTCACATCGGGTGTGACCAGTCAGTAAGGGATGCTTACTGCTCAGAAGCACCTGATCCCAGCCCTGGAATTGTCCGAGGTCCATCTTTTATGATCACATCTTTGTATTATTTATTGATAGAAATTTTAAAAATTGCTTATGCTTGATCACTGAACGTTATCTCCATCTTTTACACCCATAATATAATGATTTTCCATGTATAATACACGTATATACCGGTATTTTCGACTCGGTGGAATTTTATGAGTCTTTTTGAGTCAATTTGGAATGCATAATATATTAATAGTTTGAGATTATTAATGAGAAAGAACAAGTGTTTGGCAGAAGCCATGACTTCATGTAAAATGCCATAAATTAGTCAACACTATATAACACGTTAAACATGATTTTTATTGGCTGGGCTACATATATCTCAGCTCGCGCTTGAAACATATCACAGACTTCCATCCATATAATGAGTAAAGTCTTTAAAGAGACATGGACACAGTTTTCAAATTGTTTTTATATTTTTTTTTGTTTACAAATACATAACTAAGGCATTTTTTAAAAATAATTATCAAAAAATGAATTTCAGTTGTTTAGAAACAAGACAGATTTAGAGCTCCGAACCTTTGTTATGTAAACAAGGCCCGTGTCGTGTTTTTGTTTACATAGGTTAAGTATACTAATAAACCGTTTTACGTTCATTCAAAGAACATTTTTTTCAATAAAGAAGCTAATTCTAAATACGATAAAACAGTTTCAAGTAGTTTGATGAATCTTGTTTTGTTATAAAAATGATATTCCTACATTTAAACAAAAACAAGGCAGAAGCCTAGTTTACATTATGAAGAATTTTAAGTTTTGCATCTCCTTTGTGAATCAACGAAATATTTTCAAATTATTGCTGATCATTTTAACTGCCTTAATTAGGAATTTTAAACATTAATATTGGTGTTTTTAAAAAGTCAGTTGAAGCTGTGTCCATGTCCCTTTGAATTCAATAACTTTAATTATCATAGTTGATATTCACATAGAAATGTTTTTGGAAGGCAAGAATAATTTTTCGAAAAAATATGGAGAAATTATTTGCGGAAGTGTTCTCTTTGAAAACTTGACATTTTTGAAGCAATATGCTCTTTTAAAGAAAGACTCCTCCCTTGATAAGGTCAACGAAACCAATAATGTCAAAGACAACCTCTAGCACAAACACCTCTGGTCAATTGAAGTTGACCTCTATTAAAATTGAAATTGTCTCTTCATTAAGGGATTAATCGGATCCTTGTTGACCCGGAGAAATGTCGGTTACGACGAAATATTACCTGTAATATCCCAGTTCCGGTTCTTTATGGTTCAGAATAAAGACCTCGGGTAAGGAAAACATTGAAAGACAATGGTAACAGGTACAGCCAGGTGTTCAAGGAAAAAGACATCAATAATTCAAAATGGCGGTGATTTTGTTTACTTTTTTCAACTTTAAGAATTTAATTTTAAACAATGAAGTATGGAGGTAAACCTTAGTTCAGCAGAGTTGTGTTTACTACTTGGCATGACTTTCATTTTGATAAGTGCATTCGATAGATCTTATTGAGTTACCCTTTAGGACGAAATATTTGAACAATAAGTGACGAGACTCACCCTAACACTTAGCATACGATCGATACGATCACTTATACCCATCAACAAAAGGAAATGAAAATAATTTTTATGAATTTTAGGGAATCAATAGAATGCTGTTGGCGACTTTGATATTTCAGCTAATCATATATTTCGATATTGTATAATTACTGGTGTTAAGTTAACAATCGATTATTTGGAACTTGTATAATGTATAAAACAAACAAATCTCTTGTGTCAGTGGTTCCAAATATTTTACTTTCGGCAAAACCAGGAACTAGAATCAATTTCTTTATATTCTAATAAAAAAATATTCTTTGTTTAATTACATTTATTATCTTAATTTTGTTTGTTTTTCCTCATTGATGAAATGTTTGGAATTCAGAAATAAAGAATTAAAATAACAAAACCAAAATGAAACAGTATGATAACATTCTGTTTGGTGGCTGTGATTTCTTTGCAAACAACTTGTCCGAAGTGGAGGTCCATTGTTCCATGAGGGGCCTGTCGGCAAATGATACTGACGAATCCTCCATCATAAAGCCAATATAAATCCAATAATTACTTTAAATAACGTTATTATCACGATTTGACTGCATCCTGGGACAGTGTCTTTGAAGTTTCCCGAGATTGCCATAAGGAAAGTGAAAGTGCTCTTTGGCCGTCATCGATTGGAGATTAGCCGCTGAGGCTCCGCCTCCTGCACGAGGAAACTCACTGTAACATGATTGACAAACACCCTTACAAAATCTCAACATTCTCTAACTTATTTCTATTCATTGATTTGTTTGTACACTTTTACAAAGATACTTTTAGAAGCAGTTTAGAACATTTATGTACTCTTTTGATTTCCTTTCCGATTTGTGCCAAACTTTCTAAATATAGGATGTCCATCACCACAAGAATGCAGTAACAGGACAATCTAAATATAACTGAAGGATTATAAAAATGTTTTAACAGAGAGGATTTCAATTCTTCCTACAGAAGTGACGATGTTTTACTGGATATTTACTCTGCTAATTTACAAAATAGCATATGGTGAGTATTTAAATCCAATTCAAGCTTTCTAGCGATTGAACAGTAGCTATCTTATTATCAGGAGGTAAAACTAAAATCTTTATACACGACAGTGTAATAAAAATACTTTTTGCATACCTTTTTCAGTGAGCAAACATTAAATGTAAACTTCGACTATACTTCAAACAAACATAAATAATTTTAGATCGATAAAATATTTTCAGGAACAGTAATTTTGTAAAGTTGATTTTGTTTGTGCATTTAATACAGGCCTCGTAGATTACGTAATCAATGTCTAAATATAAGAATATAATAGCATCGTTAGCATACGTCAAAATGACTTCCAAACCAAATACATGCATCATATAAATAACCTCTTTAGTAAGAAAGACGTTTTTTGCGTCGGATTAAATCCGGACTTGCCGTATGTATCATTGTCAGAAGGTAATTGTCTCTAGGCCTCCGTCTCACAAAGATTACTGAAGATTGCTACGGCTGAAGAACAAAGACCAGATTGGGTCACAAATAATATTTCTAGACGTAAATCAATGGACAGCAATCGCCGTATACCTAACTGCAGAGGAAATTGGGGCCTGTATGTGCCTTTTTAGTCCGGTAAATTACAGTTCCTCCGACACGATTGTCTTTATCCTGCTGGAATTTAGGAAGAAATAACCCTCTGGGTTTGTAGAACTTCCAGCATTACTTGTACCTTTTCTGTTGTAATAAGCTTCGTTAGAACATTTTGCTGCTGTTTTACTATGACCCTGTTCGCGGAATCCCCTTTATAACAAATGTTAACAAACCAAGCTCTGCAGTAGCCAAATTGGTTCCTCTCGCTATATGATTAGTGTTGAAGAGCGAAAGTGTTATATGGTGGCTATTAACAATCCATAAATCTTATGCGACTTAATTTATTATTTATCGTAATAATCATCTACCGCTGACAGGAAATTGTTTAGTCCCATTTTAGTACTTAAGGAATTTGAGAATAATTATGTCCCTCATGTAATCGGCATACTGTTTGTCATCACTGAGTCTGTGCATATGTATTTAGAACACTAGACCGTCGAAAAATTAGGAAAATTCGTCATGTAGTTAGAAGTCAGAATTACAACACGAGCTTTGTGGAACATGGAGATATAAGTTTACAATTCTCTGACAGGAATGAATGTAAAATAGTTGTTTTATTTAACTGTCTTGTCGTTTAATCAGCCAGATCATCAAATGGACGTAATGGTCTATCGTCTGCTCAATAGATAAGTCCTTTTCAGAGCACGCTCATTCGAATGCTATAAATCTTCACGTGAAATCCTATGGCATATTCAAATTAAGTCAATAAAATAAAAAACAATCAAACTAAATTGATGATTATAAATGAATTTAGATCTTTGATAGGATTGATTTCTGCCATGAAATTCTTTTGCGACTGTATTCTGATTTGAAAACATCATTCTCTGATAAAATAAAAATCAAGATCCCTTAGATGTGATTATTTCCTGCATGGGGTCTTAACATGGTTAGCAAAACGATCAAAGAGAACATAAATATCTAGCTTAAGGGTCATGACTAAACATAATTGGAAGAGAAACTTTTTTCATACACATTGTGTTTCAAAATGCATCGCTGGTTTTTAGTCTGCAAACACTCATAGGAAATATGCATATCTTAGGTCTACGACAATACTGTTTCCAATATTGATCTTGTTTTTGGTATATGACAAGAGGTGATTTTATTTAACTGCAAAGTTAAAACTTGCGTCTCCAAAGAAGGATTAAAGCTTTCTTAATGACATTGTAGCTGGAAACATTTAACATTACCGAAGGCCATGGGACTTTTATAATAACCAATAAATCTTGGACGTAAGACAGTCCTTACCTACATCACTGACTGTAAAAAATCTTACAAAGCACAAAGAGCACTGTAAGTACCACGGGCACAGGAAATTATTGTAAATATTGAATATAAATATATTTAAACTGTTGAAATTAAGAATCCCCAAGGTTAAGGATACTTCAGTATAGAATGTTTCTGTTTGTGGATTCTAGTGGTTTTAACTGTCTGCAATGTAGCTTTTTACTCTGGTCGGCAGTAGGTCAAATTTTGCCCACATTTTTTGGTCATAAATATAATATATCTAAAGTTGAACTAAGAGATTGCAGTTTATCACTATTATTCATCACATCAGAGATTAGTCATGTCCACACCCTGTATTTCGTACGAATACACATCGACGATATTACTTCCAAACTATTTAATTGCAAAAAAAGACAACAAAAACTACAACAACAACAAACAAATCTACAATGCCGACAAACATAATCCTACAATGTATTCCTGTTCCTTTTTACACTACAACTAATGTAAATAACTTTTTATTCGCGAAAACTTAATTTTCACGTAATCACGCGAGACAGTGTGTTCGACAAAATTCCATTCTCGTACTTATTAGCATTTCTTAAGATAACATGGAGCACTAACCTTAAATTCGTGCATATTTTGTCTCACGAATATCTCGCGAAAATAAAGGGTCGCAAAATTTTAGAGATCTACAGTATAGTCCTGCTGGACACGTCCTTGCAGGAGACGATGTCATTAGTAATGAGATAGTTGGAGATAGCATTGAACAGTATTCAAGCTCGAAAGTCCACAAAACAAAACAAAATAGGAGCATAGCAAACACGGACTTCCAAAACACCGGAGGTTGGATCAGCTGCCACGGAGAAGCCAAAATGTAGGTAACCTTGAGGTTTCAATTGGCGTCGTTATTTCATAAATATTTTGAATTCTGTAGAAGATTACGCCAGGCGATGGATCAAATATGAAAAAGAGGACTGATCTTTGTCAGAATGGATAAAAATTATACGAGGGGTGTTAAAATCTCGGTTTAAGCGATTGAGGGACAATATTCCTCCGTAGTAAAAAATTTCAGAAGTGAAAAAGAATTAGAATACACGACCAGTTGTGATTTGGTTCCAGATGACAAAAGTTAACAACGTTGTCTTTGTTTGTAGGGCTCAAGATTGTTTTTAAAGAACTGGAAAATAATTCTGCCAGCTAGTGGTAAACCAATTTATACCCATAGCTCCATTTCTAAGGGGAACCTTCTTCAAATATTATGTTGGATTTAAATATACTTGATATTTCCAACAATCAAGAATAAATTTGAATTGTCATACCTATAATGGATTCATAAATTCATAGAAATCCTTGAAAACAAAGGTAGACTTTCAGTACATATTCTACCAAGTCTCTTTATTTATTCGTCACTAAAAGGAGAAACTTCAGGAGTAATATACAATATTCCGAGAGTTGCGTAAATCATAAATGTGGATAGTTAAAGACTCGAAAGAACTTTTGAAAAATGAAATTACAAAACTACCAAGATCAATCAAAACGTACAACTTTTCAACACTTTATACATACAACCATTTCCAACGATAAATCAAAGTCTTAGGTTTATGACATCAGACAGCAGTTGAAACTCATAAACACAATTACCTTGTCAAAGTTCATTTGTAATATCATTTTGTTTAAAATTCTGTTTGTCCACACAAGAACTCTGAAGCTGATATTAAAATGATGCCCAAGTTTTGGATTGACAATGTTTATGTAGTTTTTTTTTTGTAATCAGGTCTTGAAACAATAGATGTATGTCAGAAGAAGAATATGGTAATAACGAACAGTATTCAATCTCAAAGTCCATAAAAATATACAAAATAGGAGCAGAGCAAACTTTGACCTCCGAAACATCAGATGTGGGATCAGGTGCCATGGAGGAGTGATCATCCCCTGCTGACCAGTCACACTCGCCGTGTGCTCCTTGTCATGATCAGGATATAATGGAAAAATCCGTCGTCAATTCAGTGTATAAATAATGGACTAACAATTAGTATGAAAAACGTCAGCATTTGACTCAATGATAAATTGTATTTGCAGACAAGGGCATTGTATCGACCATAGAACTCACGAAATGATGACTTTAAACGAGACTGCTAATATTCTTGTTTCATCAACTTGCTTGTCAATAATTTACCTCTTTTTAGAAATTGTTCATATGTAGAGCATGCTCTTGCGTATCGAATCAACTGAGATATGTATACTCCGTATGCAGGTGATGAAGGTATATTGCTGCATAAGTAAGAGAAGTTGACTATAGAAAAGTTATAGTCATCACGTTTATCATTTAACTTTGTTGTTAGATTATCATTAACATCTTTTTCAAGTAAAATATCCAAGTATAAAACAGATATGTCAGATTCTGTGGTATCTTTTATTTCGTGCTCACCAGGATATATCGTATCGACGTAGGAATGGAAATTACCATTGTTAATTGACAATACGTCGTCGATATATCTAAATGTCGAGTTGAAGGCCAAAGCAAGTGTTTTCTTCTTTTCACGCAGAAGATTTTGCACAAATTCTGCTTCATATGAATATAAAAATAGGTCTGCTAGTAACGGAGCGCAATTGGTACCCACTGGAATTCCAATAGATTGTTGGAATACCTAGTCTCCAAAAACCACATAGATATTGTCAATCAGAAACTCAAGCATCTCTTTGGTGTCAACTTCAGAGTACTTGTGTATGCAATCAGAATGTGTTTTAACAAAATAATTTTGCAAATGACCAATGACCAGATAAGTAAATTTACGAGTTCCATTTTTATTGAAAAAGCAGCTGTCAATGATATTAAAAAGCCTGGACTTTAATTTATCGTGGGGAATGGTTTTGTATAAAGTTGAAAAGTCGTAAGTTTTTAAGCTGTCGATTTTGGTAAAATCTTGTGATTTCAAATTGTCCAAAAGTTCTTTGGAATTTTTTAGTATCCACATCTGATTCACACCACTTCTTAAATGTATTGTTGCACAGTACTCTTGAAGTTTTTACTACATTACTGGCAATATCTTAGTTAGGAGTAACGAAAGAAGCTTGTTTGAACATTTACTTGAACCCGCAATGTATCTATGTAATGATTTTTATGAAGTTTCGGAATCCAATATGCATATCCCCAGAATTTT